TGCATTACTTTTTCTATTTTAATATTCTGTTTTATTAAATTAGTTCATATATAGCAGTATACTTAGTGATTTAGAGTTTAATACAGTGATTGGTGATTAATTATAACTATATACATACACTGGATAACTATCTTATGACATTTTCGTATAATTAGATTAAGTACTATTATAATCTAAATCAAAATTTTGTATTCTGTTATATTATTGTTATACTTTATTAAAATCAGAATGTTATTTGCTTATATTTGTGTGACAGAAATGACTACAAATAATTTTGCTCGTACAACTACTGTTCCTACTACCGTAAGTGTGTTTCATGGAGAGAAACCCGAAAAATGTAATGGTTCGGATTTCAAACGTCGACAACAGAAGATGTTTTTCTATCTCACCACACTGAACTTTGCTTAGTTTCTAAGTGAGGATGTCCCTACACTTAATGAAAATGAAACTGATGAGGAGAAGTTGATTGTATTTGATACTTGGAAATATTCGGATTACTTGTGTAAAAATTATATCTTGAACGGACTACACAATATATTATACAATGTGTATAGTGTTGTCAATTCTGCGAAAGAACTTTGAGAGTCTTTGGGCAAGAAATATAAGACTGAGGATGCCAGCACAAATAAATTCATTATTGGTAAATTCTTGAATTATAAAATGGCGGATTCGAATACAATCATAGTCCAAGCTCAAGAACTTTAAGTTATCCTTCATGACATCTATGTCGAGATTATGTCTCTTAGTGAGTCATTTCAAATGGTTGCAATTGTGAAAAAGATACTACCACTTTGAAAGGATTTCAAGAACTATCTCAAGCATAAATGCAAGGAGATGAAACTTGAAAAATTACTTGTTCATTTGATGATTGAAGAAGACAATCGTAAATCTAAGAAGAAAAGTGGAGTCTTTAATTCTATGGAATCTAAAGCCAACATTGTGGAACGTGGGGCAAGACTAACAAGAAAATGAAGCATAACGATGAATGTTCAAATCAAGGATCTAAAAAGTTCAAGGGCAAGTACTACAATTGTGGCAAACCTAGACATCTGTCAATAAATTGTTGAAAGTCAAAGAACTTCAAGAAGCCAAATGCTCAAGCAAACATGACTAAAATAGACAAGCTTTCAATGGAAGTCTCCAATATCATCCTCTCAGTAGCTGTATCTGAATGTAACTTGGTGGGAAACCTCAGGGGGTGGTGGGTTGACATAGACGCCACTTGACATATTTGCTCCACAAATGAATGTTCTCTACTTATAAGAAGTTGGAGAATGATAAACAACTCTATATGGGGAACTCTTTTACCTCCAAGGTTGAAGGATAAGGCAAAGTGATATTAAAGATGACATTCAGAAAGAAACTCACATTGAACGAAGTGCTTCATGTGCCTAACATTCGCAAGAATTTTGTGTTCGGCTCTTTGCTTAGCAAGAATGATTTTAAGTTAGTCTTTGCATCCGATAAGTTTGTACTTACAAAGAATGAAATGTTTGTAGGAAATTGATACTTAAATTATAAGTTTTTTATGCTCAATGTAATGACTATTGTACCAAAGTCTGATATTAATAAGAATGAGAATAATTCTTCTTACTTGAATCTTCAAATATATAGCATGTTTGGCAAGGACATATTAATTATGATACAATTAGAAGATTAATCGATTTGAATGATTTGTCTAAATGTTCTATTGATACAAATCATAAGTGTGAGACTTATGTGGAATCAAAGTTGGCAAGAACATCTTTCAAATTAGTTGAAAAAAGCACCGAACCTGTAGAATTAAATCACAGTGATGTATGTGACTTAAAATTTGTGCAAACTGGATGTGGTAAAAAATATTTTATTACTTTATTGACGGTTGCGATTTCACAAGATACTGTTATGTTTACTTAATTAGAAGTAAAGATGAGTTAATTGATATGTTCAAGTATTATAAAAATGAAGTTGAAAATCAACTTAGCAGAAAAAGGTATTGATAAATAATAGAGGAGGTGAATATGAATCTCTTTTTATGAAGTTTTGTTCAACACATGGAATCATTTACTAAACTACTGCTCCCTATTCATCGCAATCAAATAGCGTAATTGAACGCAAAAATCAATCATTGAAAGAAATTATGAATGTTATGCTTTCAAAGTTCGGATGCACCCCAAAACTTGTGGAGGGAAGCCTCACCATCTGCTAATTATATTCTTAATAAAATGTCTCATAAGAAAATAAATAAGACACTTTGTGAATTATGGAAAGGTCGAATACCTTCCTATAAATCTATATTTATACTACTTATAAACGTCAGTATCTGCGAACAAATTTTGATTTTCTATTTTAACCCTACTTATTATAATAAAGTCAATTATATCCACTAATATATGTATTTTTATCTAATTTTTATTTTTTACTCTTATTTAACTTTCAACTTATTTTGGACTCTTTTATAAGAGTTTCTAAATTCTTTTGAAGTCATTTATTAGTAGTATAGTTGCATACAATTTTCTATATCTATATGAAGAAGTAAAATAATATATATATATATATATATATATATATATATATATATATATATGTTAAATTATTATACAAATGTAGTTATCAAATTGAATTTTGTAGTAAAATATATATTATATTATATTTTTTGGTATGCAATAATATAATAGTATTATAAGTGATTTAATCAATCTATTTTAAAAAACAAAAAATTAATAATTCTATAATATAATTAGTGTACAAATGCCTAAAAATATTGGAGAGATATCTAAATAAATGATAAATTAAATACTCAAAGTTTTATAAAATAAATTAATAATTAAAATATAAATTAATTATTTGACTTTTAATTTATTATTCATATAATTCACACTTTTTATATAAAAAAATATTATTTAAAACACACGTTGTGCATTAGTAGTACTTAAAAGTGTGGAGGTGACTAAAGAAAGTGGCAATTCTTAAACTTAAAAAAATTAAGATAGAACCTAGATCTATTGATTGTGTATTCATTGGTTATGCCCATAATAGTAATGTATATCGATTTTTTATTCATAAATTTAAGATTTTTAATGTGCATATTAATACAAGTATTGAATTAAGGAATGCTTCATTCTTTCCATTTGACATGTAGTGGGGGCGTGATTTGTTGTTGTTAAGGAGAAGTTCGGATAGGCAATCACACTATAATCCAATTTTTGCCCAAAAAAAATTGCAACCATCACTGCAATTTGTCTAACCCCCTTTCCATAGTGATAAACATGTGATAAGAGTGTAAATATTGGGTGTAACAGTGACATCACGTTATCAGTGTCATGTGGTGTCACAAATTAATTATAAAACAAAAAATACGATTGGTGAATTCTACTATTCAACATGTCAGTTATTAGATAAGATGGTTATTGATAGTTTTTAAAACAACATAGTCCACTTGATATTCTATCATTAGTTGGTGACACTTTGCATGTATTCATGGGAACCAGTCACTCCTTTTGAATTTCTAAAAAAGATTCAAATTGTTTCTTTCTTCCAAAATAAAGAAATTTTCGGTCAATAACAACCACCAAGTCATATTTTCTTGTGATACAAACTATAAATTAGAAGGATCAAAATGATATAAATTATAAAATTGAGAGATCAAAATGACCTCTCAAGTGTGGTCACATGAGCATTTCTATGAGTCAATTTAACTTGTCGTTTTCGATAGGACTAAAGTGACACAAATTTAAAAATTTAGGGATCAAATTGACACAATTTAGAGATTAAAGACCAAATTGAAACAAAGTGCGTACTTGAGGGACCAAAATTGTACTTTACACTAAATCAAACTTTTTATTTAAAAATTAATCTCCAACTGTTCTCTTTCTAAACCTAAATTTAAATTTGAGTAAAAAAATCCTTAAAAACATTCTCCAATCTTATACTCAAATATATACAAAATTAAGGAATATTCAATTTTTATTAAAATCAAGGGAGAGTTAAAACCTGATGATACTCAAAATATCGCTAAGGTTGAGCTTAGGCGTTCAACTCAAACCTTTCAAGCTTGAATTATTCAACTCATCACAAATAACTAGGGGGTTTAGGTCGACACTTCCTCTTTAGCAAAGGCACTCCCGTAAGAATAACAAGGGTGACAACAAGCTTCCTCCCAAGCATCACGCATGTATCGTAATGGTCCTATATTTGGGTCAAGAAGTGACAATCGTCTCAATACTATCCCTGACAATCACATGATAGGTGCAACCGTTACAAGGAAGAGGCGAGGATTGCACCGGGGATTAGGCGAGGCCCTAGAAGACTATAAATAAGAAGCAAAATCCTCACAATGAAGGACAAGCAACTAGCCTAAAGTAATACTTTGTGTAATCTTCCCCCTTTATCAATAAAATTATCCCTAGGAAAAAAAGACTCCATTAAGAGTAATTAACCGAACTCCTAAACTGGTGAACCACTATAAACTCTCTGTGTGCAATTCCTTATCTCTTTTGTTCAAGTCTTAAGAGTCTAGGAACCCCGACTAAGCCATTCAGTTATCTATTAATTTCTAAAGATCATAAGTTCTATTCAATTGTGCAACACACACTATCAAAATCTTTACTCAAATATTTAATTGTTAGATTTCATTAGTCTACCAATTATGTTCTATCATTTTTAAATTTGAATTTATCATCTTTTAAATAAATTTTTTCATTGAAGTGTTTTGTATCAAATATTAACTCATAATTGAACAAATTTAAACAAGTTCGAATTGGATCTCTTAAACATATTTTTCTAAATAAGTTAAAAAAATTGTCAAACGAGATGACTTCGACCCAATCCTAATTATTTACGCATAAAAGAATTGAGCATCTCCAGATTTTTTGAACGAATCTAATAAAATTGTTTTCAATCGAGCCTCCAGCCCACCAGAAAGAATTGGAAAAGAGAGAGAAGAACCAACAGTTAGATCATAGACACTCCTCAATCAAACCCACTGTAGCCTCTCCCACATCGCGATCCAACCACCAACCATGTTCCGCCAAGTCGCCACCCGTCTCCTCTCCCGATCCACTATAACCGCCACCGGCAGGGCTAAAGCTCGCCCATTCTCCACCGACCTACCGGTGGCTCCGGCGGCCGATGAGGCCTTCGTGGAGTCATGGAAGAAGGCGATGCCCAACATAGAGCCACCCAAGACTCCTCTTGCCTTCATGGTGCCCCGCCCTGGGACTCCTTCATCGATCCCTACTAAGCTTACTGTCAACTTTGTGCTTCCCTACGCGTCTGAGCTCTCGGCCAAAGAGGTCAGTAAAATGTACTCAGATGAATGAAAAAACCCTTTTGATTGTGTGCCATTTTTTTATTTCTATTTGTATTGTTCAATTTTGATATTATTTTATCTGGGTGTTTTTTGAAACTGATAGTTTTTTTTTTTTTTTATCACAAAAACTGATAGTTGATTATGGTGGAATTTCATCTAGGTTTAGTTTGGATGCTTGATTTTGATCTTATCTTATTGGGCTTTGTTTGTTTGTATTTGATGTATTACCGTTATTATTCATTAGGCTACAATATCTTTATTCATTTGAGGTCTCAATTTGTTTTGGATTTGACCAAATGCCATATGGGTTTCAACCTCATTTCATGTAGATTTGGTCTAAATTTTGTGAACTATGCTGCTGCTGCTGCTGTAATTATTGGTTCATTTTTTTGTCAATACATTTGGATTTGTTTTGATTCTTAGCTGATAATGTTGTTAGGAGTCGTTGATCAAGAACACGATACAAACCGAAGGAATGACTACTTTTATTGAAGAACATTGACCTGGCTTTAATAGCCTTACAATAAGCTGCACTAACTAGAAAACAGAAAAATAGCTCATGATTGCATGATCTAAGCTACGTGATACATGTAGCAAGCAATAAGTCAAAAACTAAATCAACACCCCTAGAAACTAGGATTTATTCTGACAGAAAGTAAACTAACTTGATACTCTAACTGAAAATCCTAATTCCAAGCAATTGACTCCTTCAATCCCTCCCTTAAACTAACTGCTGTGAGGCAATTAGTTTACATCTGTGACATCACATACTTCCCAGCTTCTCCCTGAGCTTCTGAAATGCATCCAGCTTTAACGGCTTGGTCATCAAGTCTGCTACCTGGTCTTGTGTTCCACAGTAAACTAGTTCAACTTCACCATCTTTAGTGAGATCTCTCAAGAAGTGAAAACGCACATCAATGTGTTTACTCCTCCCATGCATGACTGGATTTTTGGAGAGTTTAATTGTCGAACTATTATCACACATTACAGTAGTACTTCCTTCCTGTGAATGACCTAACTTCTTCAAAATCCTTCTCATCCAAACTGCCTGACAAGCACAGGCAGCAGCTGCCACAAATTTTGCTTCTGTGGTTGAAAGGGTAACTACTATGAGTTGTTTCTTTGATGACCATGAGACTACACCAGAACTCAATAAGAACACATAACCAGATGTGCTCTTTCTGTCCTCCAAATCACTAGCATAGTAACTATCTGTGAATGCTAGCAGGTCTTTTTCCCCTCCCTTATAAAAAATCCCATCAAATACCTCAATATTCTCTTGGCAGTTTGCAGGTGAAGTTCAGTTGGTTTTTCCATGTACCTGCTAATAAGACTAACACAGAACATCATGTCTGGACGTGTGGTAGTGAGATACATTAAGCTTCCCACTATTTGCTTGTAATAGGTCTCATCCACTGTGATTCCATCATCATTCCTACACACTTTAGACCCTGGCACAATCGAACTACTCACTGGATTACTCTCTTGCATCCCAAAACGTTTCAAAACCTCCATGACATATTTTCTTTGACAGATAAAAATACCACCAGGTTTTTGCAATACTTCAATGCCAAGAAAGAACTTCATTCTTCCCAAATCCGTCATGTCAAACACTCTCATCATTGAACTTTTAAAATCAGACATCATAACCTCATCATCACTAGTGAAAATTAAATCATCCACATAAACACTCACAATCAAAACTTTACCTTTACTGCTCCATTTGATGAACAAAGTCTTCTCATTAGGACATCTTTGGAACCCTTCATTGATGAAATGTGCTTCAATACGGTTAAACCAAGCTCGTGGAGCTTGTTTTAGGCCATATAAAGCCTTATGCAGCTTATAAACCTCGTGTTCACTGCCTTTCTTCTCATATCCTCTTGGCTGCTCCACATAGACATCCTCATCAAGTTTACCATGGAGAAATGCAAACTTTACATCAAGCTAAAATATCTTCCAACTCCTCTGTGCTGCAAGGGCTATTATCATTCTCACCGTATCCATTCTTGCTACTGGAGCAAACACTTTAGTGTAGTCCACTCCATGCTGTTGAGAGTAGCCTTTAGCCACTAGATGAGCTTTATATTTGTCCACTTCACCCATTAAGCTTTGTCTTAAAAAGCCATTTGACTCCAATCTTTTTGGCACCAGGTGGCAAATCAGTGAGCTTCCAGGTTTGATTCTTCTCGATTGAGTTGATCTCAGAATCCATTGCCATCCTCCATCTTGAACTCTTCACTGTTTCTTCAAAGTTCACAGGATCTGTGGATTCAACTAAAGCCATATTGACCTCATTTTCTTCTTCTGACAACTCTTCTCCATTAGCATAGTCCTCCATCCAGATAGGAGCCTGTTTGTTCCTTCCTCCACCGGCATTGATTCCTTCTCCAGGAGATGAATTCACTGCCATTGGAACTTCATCATTAACTGTTTTCTCAGCTTCACCACTGCTTTCACTAACTGTTTCATCACCTTCTTCTACATCTGCATCAGTTTCATCACCCCATTCTAGATCCATCAAAACATGCTCTTCATAGCTTACATCCCAATCCCACTGTTTATCTTCTTCAAACACCACATCCCTACTGATTATGACCCTTTTAGAGATAGGATCATATAACCTGTAGGCTTTGGACTCGTCACTGACCCCTAAAAGCACACAACTGAAGCTTTTATTTTTCAGCATTGTCCTTCTTGCATCTGGCACATGAACATGTGTCATACACCCAAAAATCCGAAAATGCTCCACTGTAGATTTCACACCACTCCAGGCTTCTTCTGGAGTAACATTTTTGACAGCCAACGTAGGACACCTATTTAGCACATACATGGCCAATTCACTGCCTCAGGCCAAAAGGTTTTAGGAATCTTCTTTTCTGAAAGCATAGAACGAACCATGTTCATCACAGTTTTGTTCTTTCTCTCGGCCACTCCATTTTGTTGTGGAGCGAATGCTGCGTCAGCTGCCTCTTGATGCCACTCCCTTTGCAAAACTCCTTGAACTCCTCTGAATTGAATTTCCCTTCTCTATCAGTGCACAAACACTTGATATATATGCCAATTTCTTTCTCAACAAGGTTTTTAAAACATTTAAAGGAATGTAAAGCTTCTGACTTGTTTACTAGAAAGTAAACTCATGCTTTTCTATTGAAATCATAAATAACGCATAAGAAATACCTCTTCTTGTTGTTTGATGTGGGAGTTACAGGACCACATATATCTGCATGAATGAGTTGTAACTTCTCTGTAGCCCTCCATGCACTCTTTTTGGGGATGGGATCTCGATGTTGCTTGCCAATTAAGCAATTGGTGCAAATCACTGTGCTGATAGAGAGATGAGGCTGACCACGTACCATGTTCTTAGTTTGCAAAGTATTCAAACCTTTGTGGCTCAAATGGCCATATCGGCAGTGCCATAAATGGGAGAGGTCTTGTGAGCTTGTGTGGAAATAGGCAGCTTTCTTTTCTTGCACGTTGGCCAATAGAATGAACATTCTATTTGCTGTCATATTTGTTTGAATGATCAAACCCTTGTCTGGATGGTAGATCTTGCACATTCCTATGGATTAGGATTGCAAGCCCCTTTTCCTGTAATTGTCCCACACTGAGGAGGTTGTTCTTCAATTCTGGAATCTAGAAGACTTCTGTAATGACATGGACTAAACCATTCAAGTTTAGTCTGACATTTCCTCTATCAAGCATTGTCATTCTGGTGTTGTTTCCAACCTTACTTTTTGTGTAAAACTTTCATCCAGCTCACTGAACATGCTCCTATCTCCACACATGTGATTTGAGTAACCCGAGTCCAAAAATCATGCATCCTCTCGCTTGGCTTCATGCATCTCCACGTAAGACATTAATAGCATCTCTTCATGCTCATCTAATTCTCCATAGTTTGCCTCTTTGTCCCAGTTTGGACACTCATACTGAAAATGGCCAAGTTTGTGGCACTTATAGCACTCAACTGGGGCTTTATTGAAGGCTTCACGCCCTCTTCCTCTATAATTGCTTTTGCCACGCCCTCTTCTACAATTTCTTTCATCAACAGTCACCTTTAGAGCTTGTTCCTCTTCATTGCTCCTGTGGAATTTTGCTCATGCACAATGAGTGAACTTTGTAGTTCATCAATGGTGAGTGCATCAACATCCTTAGATTCCTTGCTCGAGCAAACTATATAGTTAAATTTGTTAGTCAAGGATCTAAGAATCTTTTCCACAATTGTAGCATCTCTCATTTGTTCTCCGTACACCCGTATTTTGTTAGCAATTGACATAACTCGAGCAAAATAATCAATAATACTCTCAGTCATCTTCATCTCCAGAGTTTCAAAATCCCTCCTCAGTGCTTGAAGAATCGAGCGCTTCACCCTAGCATTGCCTTCATATTTCTTCTTCATCGAGTCCCAGATCTTCTTTGAGGTGTCCGTTTCCAATATAGTCTCCAGAATAGTCTCTAGAATGGTTCTATCGATTGCTTGGAAAAGATAATTCTTCACCTTTAGGTTCTTCAGCTTCAGCTCCTCAAGCTTCTTCTGCTGTGCCTCTGTCACAGCTGCACCTGCCTCTGGTTCTGTGTAGCCTCTCTACTAGGCTCCAATACTCTTTGCTTCTCAGGAAATTCTCCATAAGCATGCTCCAATGGTCATAGCGACCATCAAAGCGTGGTATTACAGGTTGGACAAAATTTCCTTCACTTGTTATCTCTCTCTCGCACTATGTTTGTAAGTCACTCAAAGTTGCGGCTTTCTTTCGTCTCGGGCCCAGTGGGGGCTCTGATACCAGTTTGTTAGGAGTCTTTGATCAAGAACACGATACAAACTGAAGGAATGACTACTTTTATTGAAGAACATTGACCTGGCTTTAATAGCCTTACAATAAGCTGCACTAACTAGAAAACAGAAAAATAGCTCATGATTGCATGATCTAAGCTACGTGATACATGTAGCAAGGAATAAGTCAAAAACTAAATCAACACCCCTAGAAACTAGGATTTATTCTAACAGTAAGTAAACAAACTTGATACTCTAACTGAAAATCCTAACTCCAAGCAATTGACTCCTTCAGATTGTTTAATTTTAATTCTCTGTCATATTCTTTTGTTTGAATTGATTGTTCCCAGTGATGTCGAGAAAGAAGTTTTTATATCACAACATTTTGAGGCTGTATTATGGGATTATTATATGAAACTTGACTTTGGTGCAGGTTTACATTACAACACTTTGTATTATCTGTGTAATATGCTGCAAAAGGGTTGTTGGTTTTCTTTATTTGCATCATAGGAAACTTATTTTGTCACTTATGAGATCATAGTCTCCAAAAATTCGATGCACCTGAGTTTCACTTGTCCATAATTGTGCACTGAAATCTGGAGTGTCTTTCTATCTTCTTGAATACTATGTTGGATTTTATCTCCTTCGTTTTTTGTGGTGTTGCATCAAAATCTATGGAACTTAAAATTGTGACTCTGGTTTCTGTATTTGACCAGCCGAAAGTTTTAGTTAACTATATACCTTTTGTTGTTTTTTAAGCTCATTTTTTTTGTGGCAGTTCGAATGGATTTTTCTTTGTTATATAAAAAACAAAGAAGACAATATGTGTGTTAAATATTCAATGTTCAATTTTATCTTATCTCAGCAAATCAAATGACTGCATATATTTATGGGAAATTTGGCAGGGTATAGATGGTTTTTAGCAAATTAAGCCATCCCTTCACCGCCCTATACATTTCTATGTTTAACCCTTCACCTGTTGGAAAGTTCCAAAGGTATCTGGATTACCTCCTGTGTGTCCCATGTAATGTCTGATAAGAATATTCTGAAGTAGCAGATAGTCTAGGAATTAAGAATTCCCCACAATTTTGATAAAGATGTTCATATTCCTGTTTCCATCACTTCCTTAGGCCCCAAGAATGCTGATTGATAAGGTGAGAACTGAGAACTAGATGGGTATAAGTGTTTATTAGAAGAATATTGCTTAACGGAGTGTAACTGAACCATTGTAAATTTGTAATTTTAGAATTCAGCTGGAAGAGTTGGTGGGAAACAAGCCATCACCTCCTTGACTTGTCTGAGTCGATTATTTATGCACAAGTGGATCTTTCTTGAACTAGGATGTTTTCATTGGAGCCTCTTGAGTCGTAATGATTTTTGGTTGCAATGGTGGATAATATTATTACTCTTGTTTTGCTGTCTTATGTGTAGGTTTACTATGTGCTGCCTTTTTTGCTGCTCTTATATTTTTTCATTTGTTATGGTATTCTATTATAAATCTTATCACCAGAAATAAATATCTTGATTAAAGTCACGTGCATTGGTGAACTTTGGGGGGCTCAACAAGATCTAGACTGTAACAACTGCCATTTCTCTGTATTTTGTTGTTATAATAGCTTCCCTGAGCATTAAATTCTTCTGATCAGCTACAAACATTGCAAGTGTCTGAATTTGGGGCTATCTTTCTTAGCATCGTGACATTTGAACGTTTCATATACTTCTTAGTTTTAACTGTTCATAACTTCTACTTATTCAATTGTGTGGAATTTTTATCAGACGTAAAGTTATGCCATTGCTAATGTGAGTGTGCTGTAGGTGATGTTGCTCGTAATTAGCTGGTACAAATAGGGCCTTTAATCCAATTATTTACTTGGGTTGTTAACAAAAGACTTCGACCCTCTTGAACTATCTTTCTGAATTAGTGGTAAGTATGACTAGCATGTTAGTGAGATTTATGGTCTCAGCTACCAGCTCAGTCATCTTTTGAGATATTGAATGTAGGAGCCACCACTATTTAAAGCTGGTAGGATTCCTAGTCAACTATTCTCCCAGCTCTCCTCTTCTGCTAATGACAAATATTGGCCAAGTGAAGAAAGCATCCAAAAGATAGGGTCGGTTTGATGCTAGTACAGGTGGGGTCTCCTTGGCTGGTGAGTGGGTGCTTTGATAACTCTGCAATCTAGCATCGTGATGCTATAAAATTATTACTTGATGTTGAAGAATTTAGGGGGATGACTTCCCACCGTTTAAACATTGTGTGTTGGCAATTTTTTTTTGGTTTTTGTTGCATGGGTTGCTAAATTTTAATATTGCCCGGACGAAGTTGATAAGTTTCTCCTCAACAACTAAAATCTTGCCTAACGGGGAGATGGTTGGATAGGTGACAAAACCCTACAATTTTCATTACTAAAACCAACTGCTGGATTATCTCCACTTGGTATAGGTTTTGTATTTGTGTTATAGGCCAATATCTGTTCACACTAGGGGCAGGATGGGTATACCAGAAGTATTTCTACCCATATGGCGTTGGCTAGTCTGTCCATTAAACAGTTAAACGAGGTGTTGATCTGTAGCATGCCACTTACCTTGGACTAGAATGGCCTTATGGGGACATTTCTCAAGTAAATCTTTTTCTACCTCCTGGCAGTCAAGCCTAGGTAGAGTTCTTTATATTTCATTATTAATAGGAGAACTACTTAGCTTCAAATTGTATGGATGGATTGGTGTAACGACAAATTTTGTGTGTAAAATTAACACAAAAGTAATGTCAAATTACAATTGTTTGATTTTTTGACTTTTGAATAGAAAAAGTGGTGTTGACACTTTTTGGCGTGCTTCTCACGGGTACTATCCTTTGATTCTTAATGGATCTGATGAAGATGAGATGATATCTAGATTGACGTGTTTCTCAATCTTTGATTTGGTGGTGGTTTTGATGAATCTTCTCCCTGTTCTTCGTTTTGAATGATTTGAATTTCTCGAAGGAGGACCTTGGTGATGTGCTCTTCTCCTCACTGGTGGATTTGCAAGGCTTTGGTTAAAGGTGGATTTAGGTAGAGCTTTCCCGATCTTTCCTCCTCCTTGGCTTCTTCTCCTTGACCTCTTCAGAGTCTATACCTCCTATTTATAGAGTTAATAGTAGTTATTCATATAAAGGTATTTTACCTGAATACCCTCATACGGGCTTAGGTAGTGGGCTGCCCATATTCATGAATTATGGGCTGAATAGATGTGCATTATTTAGACTTATATACATGGAATTTAGGTCCTACTTAAATTCATAAGTCTGTTTAATAAATTTGGTCTTGTATTATTTATGGGTACGGAATTTAGGTCCAACCTAGTTTAATTTTAGAAGTTTGTTAAATATGGACTTGTCTTATTTGAGCTTATGGAATGTATGTCCAACCTAATCTAATTTTAATAACTTCTTTAATTGATTTGAGCCTAATGATAGACATTAATTTTTTAATGTTTGCAATTGGTTGTGTAAATTTGTAATTATGGACGATGTGGGTCTTCCTGCCATCAAAATAATATGGATGGGTCATCTGATGATGACTTTTCAAACATGTAGCTACTCATTTATTCTTGACATCATCTAATCTTTTGTGGAATCCCTGTTTGGCCGATGTTTAAGGAGCCACTTAGTTATGTAGATGAAATGTTTTTCTAATCGAAGTTCGTTATTTGCCCTTCGAAATTTTTGTCAAAATTGCTGTTCAAATTGATAGAAATCATATTATTTAGTCCAGCCCTCTACCTCCTACCCCCGCCAGTAGAAAAAACCTGACGAAATCCTCTTCCTCGGTGGCCCCGTCCGCCTTGGCAGCTGCATCTTCCCACAGACACCTGCCAATGTTTGCATCTTCTTTCCCCACGAGAACACCTCCTCAGCCCGATCACCTTGTCCGTCCTGCCAGCGCATCCCATTCCAACCTCTACTTGAAACCTCTTTCTAGGTTCTACATTCAACAAACCCACCACCACCGACACGAAAATCTAACACCTCTATCTAACTCACTAAATCCTACAACCACCTATTGCATATATCTCCTACCACCACAGATCACAGAGAGAGGTATGCATATGTGTGTGGGTGTGCATGTATTGTGTGTGTGACAGATAAAGAGGATGGAGAAGAAAAATAATAGAGGGTGTTTGGCTGCGAAGATAACTTTTTTTTCCAACAAGGAACTAGTTTGGAAGGAGTATCATGTTATGTTGACGAGAAATAAGGGTGGCGATGTTCGGCATTTTAAGTGTTATTTTTGTTGGGTAATCACTTTTGGTGATGAAGGGGGTCCGAGTCCGACTGTTACAACTTTTCAAAAGTAAGTGGTCACTATTATATGTATGAAAAGGCAGGGGAGAGCATATTTTTTTTGCAAATGTAAGGGGTATTGTTGATTTTGAACTATATTTATTAGTGCTTGGTATGCTCTCATTTGCTATCTCTTTATAAGGGGCTGTCATTATCTTCTGTTTAGCGTTAGCCTAGGTTTGAAAAAAAAAAATCAATGCCTGTTTCTTGGTTTTTAATTGTGAAGGTGTATTGTTAATTATGCTCATGTGATGTTCCCTCTCATTTTTGGTGGTGGATTTTGGTGGTGTACATGTGCAATGAATGTTCTTGCCTGGCAGTAGTGGGATAGGGTCTGAAACTGACTTGAGTGGTTTCTTGAGGTTCTTGATCTGTTAAGTTGAAGTATTTTCAGCAATCATGATGACTTCAATTAAGAAGGTGCAACCGTTTAACTAATAGAAGGGTGGACAGCAATAAACAGTAGCTACTGAGTTGGGTCCTATCTATGGAAAGAGGAAGAACCTCTTGTGTGACCTTTGTTATCCACTAAACCTCTTAGGGTTAAGTGAAGGTTGCTTAGCGGATCACTTTTTCCAGTGCATAGTTCCATTGACTGATTTTGAAACTGTTGTCTACTTTGCGAGAATATGACTTGACAGGTTTGAGGTAATGCTTGCTACGGAGTATTATGCACTTGTCCGTTATTTGGGTGTTCGTTGTTTTGATTTCTTGGTATATGCTGTACAAAAGTGACTACGATTTTTGCTGTATTTTGATTGCAGCAAGAGTGTGGTTTTTTTTTTTTTTTTGGCTGTGTCATCAACAGTGTGATTATTAGCAATTTTTTTCCTCCAGATCATTATAGGTAAAACTCTTGTTGACCAGCTGGATAATCTTGTCCGTTTGGTTTGAGTGCAATTTTACTTGATTATACACAATCAAGTAAAATTGTACTCCATCAATTTTACTTGGTAGTGTATAATCCATTTCTTCTCCCCTTTGATAAGATGCCTTTGCTGTGTGGATGAAATTGCTTTGTCAAAATAATTTTTTTTCTACTACCTGCAAAAGGTTAATGGAGATGGCACTAAGTATCCTATCAGGAAAAAATAAGAGATTGCTCTAAGTAACTAGATTTGACTGCCGTGAAATTTGTATACACAAACGATAAATACAAATGAACAAATGTTGGCTTCAAATGTGTTCTTCTGTATTTTGAATTTGAAATTGAGCTCCATGGCTGAAGTATCCCAAACCATATATAGAGCACGAGAATTAGTTTGCTTATGCGAGTCTTTTATGATTAAGTTGTGTTTGGAAGTAGAATTAACATTTTATTCTCACATTGTAAAATGTAAATAAGATGGCAACAAGATTGATCTCTTATGTTATGAGAGCTGGAACTTTCAGGAAATTTTGGTAGACGAGAGGTGGGTACATAATTTGATCTCCTTATTTCCAGCCTATATTTTTGTTAAATCGTGGGATTGCAATCAACTATTCACTGTAATGCTTAGATTTAACATCATCTTCCAATAGGAAAACACAAGGGGTAAAGGTTTATTGTGTTGCAGCAGCAGAGATTCATTGCAGAATCTGTTTAAAGTCTTGCTCATATGTATCTTTTATTATCTCTTAGACGCAAGAGGTAAAAGATCGCATGTTGATTATCTGTCTTATTTTTACTCATATTATCCCACAGGTTGACATGGTCATAGTACCGGCAACAACAGGCCAGATGGGTATTCTTCCTGGACATGTACCAACAATTGCTGAGTTGAAACCTGGGCTCCTGTCTGTACACGAAGGGAATGACGTGAAAAAGTATTTTGTTAGCAGTGGGTTTGCATTCGTCCACGCAAACTCTTTTGCCGATATAATAGCCGTTGAAGCTGTGCCAATCGAACAAATTGACCCAGCCTTGGTCCAAAAAGGGCTTGCAGAGTTCACCCAGAAGCTGAGCTCAGCCTCAACTGATTCGGAGAAAGCCGAAGCCCAAATTGGGGTGGATGTGCACAGTGCTCTCAATTCTGCTCTTTCAGGCTAGTTTGTGGGTTATCTATGCTTATCCTTGATTCAATAATTCTCACTTTTTTGTTGATTCTCTAGACATGTCTCATTGGCATTAAAGTATGCTCCTGACAGAAACATTATTGAGTTTTTTGTATTTTTCTGTGTTTTAATATGGAATGATAAGTCATCTTTGGATGGATTTTATTGTCTTGCTTCAGTTGGAAGGTTGAGCAGAATAATTAGTAATGAGACATTCTGGATTCCTCTCCGTTTTCTCTCTTGAGAGTTTATTCTATAGCTTGGTTCTATAATTGTGGTCTTCTAAACTGTTCAGGCTCAGACATAAGCTATAAGAGTTTCTTTCTTCTTCTTTTTTCCCGGTTTAATAGTCAAGAGAGCCCGGACCAGCTTATGCGTATTTTGACTAATTTCCTCTCCAGTTCGATCAAAGACAAATTATTCATGTCGGGATTAGAGTATTCATAATAAACAAATCTCTCATAACCCTGGTGTAGCATAAGAGTTTCTTGAAAGATCATAATCTCTTCTTGCCCAATCGTCCATCATTTCTTTTCGGATGTTTAAAATATCAATGGATGACCTTGATGTAGCATTAAGAAGCTTGTTTTCAGAATTTTTTTTGAAAATTTTAGAAACAAGGAGAACAATATATATATATATATATATATTTAAAGTTTAGTTTATTGAATTTTTTTTTATGAATTTGTCAATCTAAAAATAATTTTTTTTATATTTTTTTATTGATGTTTAAATTACTGTTCAAATATATATTTAGGCTGTCCAAATAGGTTTTACTATTATCTGTATTGTAAAATTATTTTTGAAATCATCTAACCAAACAAGTTTTTTATTTCAAAAAATATCAAAACTACTTTCTTAAAACTATTCTCAAAAATTATTTTCGGATATTATTTTTTGAAATGCAAATCAAACAGACTTTAAGCTTTGGGGACTTATTAATGGTGGTATTATTTTCCCTTTTTAGAATTTTCTAGGAAAACAAACACATGGGTTTGTCTTGCTTGCACTAGGTGACAGATATTGCTTCAATTACTCTGACTTTTTCCCACGAAGTTGTGAATTGTAAACAACAATCGCAGGCCACGGTTACATCATGCTTTTGACTCAATTTAAAATTATAATAAAGACTTTAGCTCTCAACATAAATAATTTTTTTTAGGGTCTTACGGGAAAAATAATATAGTTTGTGATTATTATTTTGTTTAGACACAATTAAAGAAAGGGGGATAACAAAATTCAAATTTGCGACCTTAATGTTCAACCACGGGAGTGGTAATCATTAAATCAATCACAAACTTTTATAGTTTGTTAATTAGGAACAACAATTATATGCAAATTATACAATAATGATTAAAATTTCAAATCGAGTACCAAATTGAGTTTAATGGATCACCCTTAGATCTATAATTACTAATCTAAAATTTGAAGAAGTGAGGTAATCCAAGATTGAAGAACCAAGAAATTCCACATTTAATATTTAGTAGTCCATTCAGTTGTGTCGGGTAAGGTGAATTTATATCAGATTTTATTAAGTTCGTCTCAAAAAATACTTTATATATACGCACTTCGTATCTAATAAATCGTGTTATATTATGTTTGTCGTGTACCCATATTCAATTTATTTATTAATAATATCGTGTCAGATCTATTCGATTTACAAAAAAAGGTATCTTAAAAGAGATTCAAACTTTTTAATTTTATATCGTGATAACAAATTGTATTATATTTGAACCCCTTTACTATTTAGTGTAATAGACTCCCAAACGGCTACATGAGACCAAGTCCATGTAAGCTTCCAACTCAAACTAAAATAATCCCAACTTGTTTGTAAATTTTTTTTGTTCATTGACATAGTTTATACCAAAGATTTCGGTTCAGCCCATGTTAGAAATCATTGAAATTAGAAGGAATAAAGTATTTTTGAATAGCAAAAACAAACAATAATTAAAAAAAATACAGCCATATATAGATCTATCACATCAAGATCTCAAATTCAACTCTAAAAAAAAAACTTTAATTTACCATGCATGAATACAAATTATTTTTTTGTAATCACTGAATCAATATAGTCCATAGTTTGACAATTCTTTATAATAAAAATAAGGACATAGAATCCATAGTTTGATTTTTCTTTCTCATAAAAATATGGAAATTATTATGGTACCTATTTTTTTTTTTTGGTACTATGTTATCAAATAATTTTGTGTTTTAGATCTTCTTTTGATTTATCTGTGACCAATAACTGTAAAAATAATAAATTAAAGTGAAATAATAAAGTAAATAATTTTTACACAAGTCAACTTTTTATTGGAGAAAATGAGGCCTAATGATACTGAAAAATAATGTCTTGTTACCATAATTGAACCCCAAAAAAAATAAAAATTGTTCAAAAAACTAACAATTTTACATTTACATAATGTGTTACTAAATTTTGGATATCAAATCAATGTGAACCATAAGATCAATAAGACCCACAAAATTTCACTATTAAACCAACAATAAATATTATTTGAACTTAATTTGATAACCTAATCTCTCACAACCATTTGATTGGTTGCGGTCCCAATATATACTAGGGTTCACTATATATTTTTTTTGGCTATAGGGAATTTAGGCTTGTGCTGACTACTCTCTTGATCTTAGCAAATAATCACCGTGACTTAAGCTGATTTAGCATATCCTCAAAGGGACAAGGGTGATTAGCTCTTAAAGGACGTAGAAATAAATTAAACCAAATGGTATGTTTGGTAGGAGGGATGAAAAATAAGAATTATGAAAAAGTTTGAGGGATAGACTTTTCATCCTTAAAGGAAAAAAAAACCATTTTCTCTAATTTTCATTTGGTACGATGAATGGAAAGTTAGATGAATTAATTTTCTATTGTTTGGTATTCGAGAAAAAATAAAAGGAAAGAAAACAGATGCAAATTTAATAAAAATTATTTTTTTCCCATTGCAAGTAGACTTTTCAAGATTTGAAAATGTTAAAAATCCCTCCAACAAATATATATATTCGTCCACTTTGTTGTGGAATCAACTAAATAAATAGCTTAAAATATAATGTTTGTGTGTTTTGAGAAATTTATCGAAATTAATTAGTGAGGGATATAATAAAAAATCGTCTAATATTTAGGGATGATGATTATTGACATGATATGATAACATGATTCGAACTCGACATGTAATTTTGATTGATTTAACATCAAAACATGTTACAAATTTTTTTAAATTAATCGGGTCACAGTCATTTAATTGGATCATATTTTATTGAATTTGTAATGTATTAATTTTTTTAGTATGATGGATGAAAAAATTGAGGGATAAACTTTCTATTGTCTGGTAAAATAAATAAAAAGAAAGGAATGAAAAAATATATAATCTCTATCTAATTTTATACCCTTGAATATAAATTATATATTTTTATTATAAATTATAAAAATGCACTTTATAGAGAGTCAAAGAAAGGATAAAACATGAAGTGTAAAATAAAAACTATTTGTTACAAAAAAAATTAACTTTATGACATGTTTCTAGAAAAATCTTGCCCATGTTAAAATAGCACCTTATGAAGGGCATTAAAATAATTTAATTAGCTCATTAAAGTGAGCAACACTTTTTCCCCACTTTCTGCTCGCTTTTGGACGGAAAATAAATGGCAGACGGAATAAAATCACTTCCCATTCACTTTTTCATTCCATTTGATTTTCTTTTGAAACCAAACAAAAGATACTTTTTCTTTTTTTCCATTTTTCATCATTCCATTTCTATTTATCCACTTTTCCTTCCAACCAAACAATATCTAAAATTTCTAGATAATACTATTTTCATTCCTAAATATCTATTATTTTGAACAATTTTTATTATTTCATAATATCTGTCGTTTAATGAAACCAAAAAATAATTAATATTTTTTCTTCTAAATTTATTTTTATCTCTATTTTTCAATAAAGACTTAATAGATTAAGTGTAGGCTAGTGCTTTTTATTCTTTTTTTTTTTCCTAATACGTATTGAATAAGAGTATTTTAATCTTGTGTAATTATTTTTTACTCATATTAGAGATATTTAATAGTTCCCTTAATTCATTTGCAAAAAATTTTAAACGACAGATATTTAGGAACAAAGAGAATAACTAACAATGTGCCACATCATTTGGAATCCAAAAGTTGATAAAAAAAATTTGTGGGTGTGGACTCAATATTTTTCAAAATAATAATAATAATAATAATAATGCAATTAGACTTAAAATATAGATTTAATGATATGTCAAATAATGAAATCCTAGTCAAGATTATAGTCACATTGATAATGGATTAGGTCACTTCTTTTTTTTTTTTTGTTATAGTGTGTTTATGTTTGTCTTGACTGTTCCTTCGAGTTTAGTAGCTGACCATCGTGATTTGAATTGAATTAAAACATATGGACTACAGTATATCACTAATACATCATTATATCGATAAATTATATTAAATTTAAAGAATCCACCAGCGTTATTCCAAATAAATATAGCAAAACCCTTCTATTTAATCAACCTCATTGTAATCACCAACCTTATTAAATTAAAACACTGTTTAAACAGCCACGTGTGAGCAGACAAGTGAATCCTACATATAATTGCGTTGATCTTACGTTGTTTCATCTCAACCGTTGATCTAGTTGACCTCGACAACAGCGACGCCACCCACAACGTAGACACCGAGGAGAAAGTGGTGGCTTTTGTTTATTGATTGCCACGTAGTGTGTCGAGTAATTATTAGGTGCTTTGCTGTTCCAGTGACGAGGATGCACGTGTAAGTGGAAAATAAAATTGGGCCGTTGGAGTGTTGCTCTGCCCGCGATTCTCGGGGCAATGGTTTCGGGCAGGGGAGACAATGACCTTGAAAATAGAGCCGCACGAGTGGGTCCCTGTGTTTGATGACGTCGATTGTTTTGTATCCCGGACCAATTGTGGGTTGTGGGGACCCACTTTAATTGTTGTATATGGGTTGTGGGACCTACTGATATTGAAGTATATGGGGGTTGTGGGGCCATGTCTACTCAGACTCCAAGGTGGGGGATGAGAGAGAAAAGCAAAAACACAGGGTGATGGAGACTCCAGAATGATCACGAAACTTGACTAATGATGGGAGGAGTGGTTTTAAAAGGTCTTTTTTTTTTTTTTTTAAAACAAGATTTTTAATTATAATTGAGTTTTGATAATATAATCTCTCAGATAAACTGTCCATCAAAAAAAAATTAAGAAAAATAGATTAAACATAATTTGAATGTGAAATTTATTACTTGAAAATAGGTCGGCCAATGGATTTGAATTCGGACCATTCAAACCCTAGTTCGAACCTGATTTAAAAATTCGTTATCAAATTTGATTCGTTTATTCAACGGATAAAAAAATATTAATTCATATCTGAATCCGTTTATAATTGGAGATCTGATTCTAATTATCCTATTCGACCCATAACAATATTTCATCAAAATTTTAATAAATAGTCTTTTTTTTTAAGATCAAATACAAATAAGTGCATTGAGAATTAAACTTTATCTTCAATGTCCAGTGAGTGTAGTGAGACTTTAAATTCAGTTTCGAAGTAAGTGCGGTAAGATTTCTTATAAATAATTTTATAGTACTAAAAGACAATATCTTCTAATAAATATGTGAAATGATCGATCTGCATCTGTATTCTATCTACAACAAAAACTATTTATTTGTTGAAAAACTTGAAGAATACCAAAATTTGTGCCTACCCATAAAAGATAAACTTTGAAATGAAAGAGAAATTTCTAAAAATAACTGGCCAACAAATGCAATGTACTTCTGCCACTAGATCCAGCAGCCCCTTGGATTTAGCAAAACAGCCTGTGGTTTTTTAATTGCTTTAAATAATCCTTGGCCATTTCCTGCTCCTCCAAGGGCCACAAAGTATAGGTGGTCTCAAGACTCTCAACCAATCACAGTTGTAGAAAGGGTAAACAATATTTTTCAAGATCAATATTTTCCACATTAAGTTATAACTTTGTCAGTTGAGTTACAAAAACATAAGACTGTTATGATTTGACCCTAACTTCTTTGGTTATCTAAATTCATTAAGTCTTGTCGCCTAAATATATAAGTAATTTCAATAGGATCACGTATATATCAATTGCGTAAATTATCGGAATAATACAAGTATGTATCCGGATACGAATCAAACCCTGAAAAATTGAGTCAATGCCAAAAATTAAGAGCAATGATACATGAACTTTATTTTGTGGGATTCACGGTCAATTCAATGATTGTGATTTATAATGTTACCAAATAAAATTATTAAATTAGATATAAATAGCATTTCTCAAGAATTTAAAGTGCTCAAATACGTATAATTTGAAAGGAATCTTGTACTAGAAAACCCCTCTCAAAATGTTGATTTGTTGAGACCACCCAGCTTCAATGGTCCACAGACCATCCAATCCTAACTCCTATTCTCTCCCTTTGGCCTGCCTCTAACTATATAAGGACCTCCACCCACCTTGTTTTCCTTCCCTACAATTACCATTCACACACTCTCTCTCTCTTCCCTTTTCTCTCCAAGCTCTCTATACACTAATCTCCCCTTAGCAACCAGCCTTACCTTCATAACACAGTCTCTAGTTTCCATTTTTCTATAGAAACAATGACGTCTTCTGCTTTATATTATGCAGGAAGTGAAGAATTACACCACCAACCCCATTTTCTTGAAGCTTGTTTTCTTTGCCAGAGGCCACTGGGTCAGAACAGTGACATTTTCATGTACAGGTTAGCTTTTGTTTATTAACTCTAAATCTCTAACCCTCTCAGAAATTTTCAATGATGACATTAACCACTTTATCGATCTTGTTACATGCAATCTAATCTCTCATGAAGTACATCTTACAATCCCTTTATCAATTCATAGAGGTCTCGCTCTCTGAGTTCAAAAGTATACACTCTCGCGTTACATGGTTTCGTCCCCAAATCAGGACATTCCCTTTCTTTTAACCAACTGGTTTGAAAACCAACGTGCCCTTTATTTCTATTTCCCACTGATCGAGAATGAAATAAAAAAAGAAAGTAGAAAAATGATTTTTTATTGATGTTCAGAGGGACGTTTTCATATTTCTTGCTAGAATAACAGTTTTCACTTGGAGTTTTTCTTATGCCCAAATGGGCTATTCAGTTTTTTATTTTTTGGAAGAATCTCTTGCATCATGAAAGTATGTGTTGGATATAACTAGATTCTGATGGGTATTTTTGGGACTTTGTGCTTGCAGAGGGAACGCACCATTTTGTAGCCAAGAGTGCAGGCAAGAACAGATAGAGATAGATGAAGCCCAAGAGAAGAGATGGAAGCTATCTTCTTCTAAGATATCAAAAACCATAAGAAAAACAGCAGACTCTCCCAAGGAATCTGGCAATAACAAAGCTGTACAGACTGGCACAGTTGCTGTGGCTTAATTACAAATAGTAACATATTATGACCCAATTTTCTTGGAACTCTTGTGCAGAAAAAGCAATGAGAAAACTTGAGACCAAAGCTTGAGTTTGATCTTGTAAAGAAATGTTGGGCATGAGAGAGAGAGAGAGAGAGACCCATCAAGAAATTTTGATTCACTTATTTTCTTGTCTTTTGAAATGATGGTAAATGTTTATATTAAGAGCATCCTCAAATGGGATGTGATATATAATCTTTGTGCTGATCTTATGTGTGTGTTGAGTTTCAACCATTTAGTGTTGAATCATCCTATTCGAAATATTATAAAACATTAACTGAAATATATCAAAATAATTCGAAGTATTAAAATTTTAATTTAATAATTAATTTCAATGTCTTTGAAAACGAAAATATTTTTAATTATTTTGAAATAAAATTTTGATTTTTGACAATAAGTTTGAGTTTGCAAAAATTAACCCCTTGAAATAAGGTAGAATTTGGTACTTCTTATTTCTATCAGACTTCCTTATGTTCAACATTAGCAAGGTGAAGATGAATACTAAATCTGTAATCATGAGGCAAAACTTGATACTAGTTTATTTTCTTATTTGCAGTGGTGGACTTGGCTTCCAAATGTAGTTTACCTAAGGTGACTTGACTACTGCATTAAAAAAAAAAGTACTGTATTTTTAAAATTTATTATTTTAATGAGTGTTTTTATAATTTTTATAAGTTATTTTATATTTAAAAAATTTATCACTTTTGTTAGTGTTTTTATTTTATTATTGGTATTTTTATCACTGTGATAAATATTTTAATCACTTTTTTTTGGACAAAAAAATTCTTACTTGCATGCAAGTGTTTTTATCACTTTTGGAATCACTATTTTCATCAATTTTCTTTGCTATCAAAACAGTAATAAAAATACCTACAAATATAATAAATGTCGTATTGATACGATGCCGAAATTTTTATTTCAAAATTTGTTTTTTCGGTACAGTAGACAACTCATACCTGAGGAAATGCCTAATCTGTTCATCCAAAAAGAACAAAATTTGGAAGAAAACCAGGCTAGTTATTCAAGAGAGTAAAATCTTCTTCAAAAACATGTTATTTCTGACATTTTCTGAGGTAAAAGGAATCTACAAATAATATCCACCCAAGTCTCAAGAGATCATTAGCCAAACAGGCTAAAAACTGAAGGAAAAACATCAAGATCTGAACATAAAAAAGTTTAACAATTTACAACAGAAGCTATATATTTATCCTGAAAGAAAAAAAAAAAAAACAGAAGAATAAAACATCATCTCACATTTACATCACAGAGGCAGTGGCTTCACTACCATGTTTCATGGTCAGGTGGGAAGGTCAAATTTACACTCTTACCTCCTATGCAGAGGGGTTATTCCCTCAAACCTTTGATGCCCAGAGTACAATAGAGCAACCTTACTGTCCGCCAAAGCCCACCTAAACAATGCCCCCACCAATTCAACTCGGTACAATATGTTTGCTTCAACTGCTCTATTCCTTCACCAAGGTACAAACCCAAAGAGAAACTATTGCCTTCTCAAAGAAACAAAATTCAATTTTGCAGAAAACATTTTTAAGGCACTTTGGTCCTGTGCATTATCAAGAAACCCCTTCTACTGATTCGACCACCATGTTCACCTAGTTTAGCCAACTGTGTCAACCGCCTTTTTGTTGATTCTGGGGGTGCCATTTGGTTAAGGTTCTTACTTGCGTCGGCTGGATCATCTTCCACACACTCAAACCTGCTGTTGGAATGGCTCTCTCTATCTGAAACTTCAATTATCTGCTTCAAACTTTCCAACACAAGACTCATTTTTGGCCGATCCTTTGCACTCTTCAACAAACAGCTGTCAGCCAATTTGGCAATTTTTCGAGCTGCGCTGAGAGAGTAACGATTATCAAGTCTTGGGTCCATTATCAGGCCAAATTTCTTGCTATCAGCAGGAAACTGTTTCACCCAATGCAGAAGTGTTTGTTCTGATATTGGTCTGTTTCGTTCTAATGACTGCCTACCTGTTAAGACCTCATATAATACCACTCTAAAACACCACACATCGCTCTCAGTCGTGAGATGTCCTGTTTGAATGTAGTCTGGGGCAGCATATCCATAATTCCTCACAACCTATCATAAAAACAAGTTTACAGAACCAAATATCTGTTGAACGAGATGACAACAAAGTCTTAAAACTTCAATTCTGAAAATCTAGAAAGAGAATTTTATTTCATTTTTGTATTTTGTTTGCAATTCATGTCCTCCCATACAGTCATTGCTTTTCTTTCTGTGTGGTATATGGCATGACTATCAAAGTATTTACCCCTTGTGTAGCCTGAAATGCTACCAAAAAAGGAACAACCATACTTACCACTGTCGAAACGTGGGAATGCCCACCTGTTGGTCTCCCCCTGGCAAGCCCGAAGTCTGAAAGCTTTGGCTTGAAATCCTCGTCCAATAGCACATTCGATGACTTAAAAGCTCGATATATCACCTAAATTGTGCTGAACAAGGCTGATTAGCACGGTTTAAACATCATTTGATATCACATTTCTAATTATCAATCTTTTTCTTTCAGCGACTTGTTGTAAATCCTAATCACTAATACATAATAAATCTAAAATTTGTAGAAATTATCCATAGAAATTACTGTTATAAGGGCCAATATTTCATCAACTAGTAGTAATCATGATAACGTCTTCACATTATTCAATATTTAGTTAGTGCTCTTTCAATTTCAAATAAAAAAATGGTTGGAACATTCATAACAGCAAGACGAGTAAAATTTTCTTTCTTTGAATAAGAGATGACTACTATAAGGAAGAGAAGAGAGAAAAGAGGCACAATATGGAGGACAACATTTTATTAAAAATGAGAAAAAACTAAAGAAAATTGGTAAACGACAGCCACTGTTGCCATCATCACGACTCATAAGCATCAAAGTGAGAAAATTTCATACCGTGATACTATTAAACATCTAAAGATTGATAGATGTTACAATCGTATTTTACTGATTTAAACCTCTAATTTCATAATTAGTGTGGCATACAAGCCACCAAAGATATCATGTATAGAAGTATTTTAGGATATCAAAGATGGCATTGTTGCAGTCCTATTACAGTGACTCTATCATGAGCTTGACCTCATGATAGCTCCCATGAACTCTGCCTCAATTTGGCATATTTCGATCTTGATGAACATTTCACATCCTATATGTTGCACGCATCAAGTTGATTTTCCTTTTAAAAGACTAAACTAAATACCTAAATTGAGATCACAATGCACCTGTTGTAGTCGAAGGAGATCAGTCAAAATTTGTGTCCACAAGAAGTTCTTAATCATGGCTAACAATGGAAGAAGTTTGAGAAGAACAAGTCAACGCTCTTCTGGAGCTCTTCAAGTTAGATTCTTGCACTTTGACAAATGTATCTGGCTACTCCTTGTAGGATTCAGAAGCTTTAGATTTATGGGCAGAGTCGGTGTTCCAAGAAGCTCATCGGATGACAAATAAAGAACCTGGTCATCTTCGCAAAGAACTATATCTTACAGAATAATCTGACTAAATGGGGAAGAGCACTTTATGTGGTCTCACTTTACCACCATCTGAAATGCATGAAACTTTGATTGGTGAAAGCCAATCCATGAAGATTCTCCCCTTACTTAATCAGTCAATCTCCTTACATCTGCCCAATTCAACTTCAGACTAATGTCGGGAATGGATCTAAGAAGAGAAAAAGGAAGTTGTATTTCCCACAAATGTAGTCTATTTTTATCGGACTTCAATGCCAAATTTTGGCCACGAGATCCACATAGGATACTCTATTATGGGCGCGTGTCTTAATCTGTGTGCACTATCAGGTCTAATAGTGAGAGATCCCATGTATGGCCTCATTAGAGCAACCTCATTTAGGCGTGTTTCCATGTTATTAGGTTTTTGTTCAAATAAACTAAACCGTTCAACTCAACAAAGTCATGTATTTATAGCGTCTTTTTTTATATAAACCTCTTTATTCATCTTTACAAAATTTGGACTTAATAATAAATGTCATATATAGTTGGCCATATAATCGTGGTTACATAGATGCTTTTTATGCAAGATCCTTAACTGGGGGAATAAGGGGATTGGCTGAATTAACTCATTTTTTTTGATAGTCGAGTAGTTGATGGAATTACAAATGGAGTTGGTGTTATGAGTTTCTTTGTAGGAGAAGGTATCAAATCTGTAGGGGCCGGGCGCATCTCTTCTTATCTTAGTTCCAACTATTTAAGGTCAACTACTGGAAATTGTGTTTTGTCATATCTTTATTGTGCTTTAGGGCTATATATTCTATTGTTACAGGTTCTTATATCCTTTTTTACTATCTTATTCAGGCCTTAACACCTGCCTATCTCTATCCTCAGCCTATTGTATCATTGTTAGTTAATTTATAGGATAATTGATACTATAAGGTACTGTCCAAACCTGTGCCTCGAATTCTTCATGTAAATAAGACAATCCTTGAGCTGCTCCACGCAGAATCTATAATCTTCTTTGCCAAGAAAGAGCTGGGTAGGCCTTATTGAAAAGGTGATCTTCCAGGCTTTTATTTGGCATAAATTCATATACAAGCAGCCGCTGGATTCCTCTTTCTCCATCCACAGTGCAGTATCCAATAAATTTGACAAGGTTTGGGTGCTCCACAACACCGAGAAATTGTACTTCCGCCACCCATTGTTTATGAACCTATATAGATACAATAGGCACTCACAAATTCAGAAATAGTAGAACCACTTATATCATCAGTTGGACATGGAAATAGCCCAAGCTCAAAGGAGAAATCAGCAGAATTCATTGTTTTACAAGAAGTAGATGTCAAATAGACTAGCTCAAATGTTTTGATCCAACACAATGCCCTCCTCTCAAATCCAAAATCCCATAAATGCTTTCGTTAAACACACTGCACTCTTTTATGCCCAAAACACAAGTTCGGTGAAAAAGGTTACAACATGAAAAATCCAAGCGTAATACTCAATTACCACATCACATAGCAAAATAGATGTCACCACCAGAATCCCTTAAATTAGCAGTGTGCGTGCTTTCCACCAATTAAGTAATGACTTATCTAAACAAGCATCTCAGGTGAATTTCTAATATGAAGATTACTTTGTACCATGTTTGGGACCGATGCGTAGCTATCACTCAAAAAACAGAACTCTCAGCTGGATTTTATAAGTGATTTAACTGAGGGTGAGATTTTGTTAGCATCAGTAGAGGTGCAACAAGTCAACCCACCCTGAGATCCGGAGGAGGGTTTAACCAACCTGTGGGCACTTGTTGCTGAGCTCGTTAAAAGAAAAAAGTTGTGCCTTCACTAACACCTATAGATCTTGATGCAACGGCAAGCGTTTCAATCCAACAATTAGTATCAAAGCAAGGTCACAAGTTCGAGTCCCAATGTAGTTGCTGGGAGATTCGGTGGAAGATTTAACCAACCTGACCTGTGGATGCTTGTTGCTAAACTAGCTAAAAGAAAGCAGCTGCGCCTTCACTAATACGTGCAGGTTTTGATGCAATGGTAAACGCGTCGATCCAACAGATTTCACTTCCTATAAGTAGCTGCCATTCACATAAAGCAACCAATATATGACAGCATCATGCAGTAAGTTCAACCAAACCACCGGACTCAAGACCTCCACATCTAGTATCCAGTATTAACTCCGAAGAAAAAGATAACACCAAGATGAATTCACAAAGCCAGAGCTATGGTCATGGAGATCCTTCTCTTCACACTTTTGACAAAACAGCAACAGCATAAAAATTGCATTAAATACGGAAATTGTTTATGGCAAATTGAAGTATCATGCTTTGACACCATTATGAATATTCACAGTTGATCCATAATCAAATGATTAAGGTTACACATGTGAGCTTCATACAGACTTGTTTCCAAGAGGAAAAAAAAAAGCTTCATACAGTCAACATAAGGTAATAAGGACAGAATCGAATGAGATATGCTGAATTTGTGTTCCAACATTTGGAATCTTAAACTTCATTGAGAATAAGTTCTATGCATTTCTTTTGCATGACAAGTGATCTCTCCTAGTCATGATTCATAACCACATTGGACACGCACCTGCAAAATAAACTCCATATATTTGCAATCACTCACTAAACACAAGTATCGCAGGTAGCTATTAAAATCCAAGAGTAGAGTGGAACCTAACATAAAGATGTCCAAATTCACGATTCATTCCAAGCTAATCGCACGCCGCTCAGCTGCCCAAGAGGGTTTCTATGCGATGATACCATAATCAGAAAATCGGTCTTTACTTATCAAAGCTCAGTCTCGAAGAACACAACTTCAAAGATTGAGGATGGGATGACCGGCAAACAGCGAAATTTGATCACAAGCACATAGGAAGTTCGGCACCATCTGATGTGGCTCGGATATAAACAACATCCGAGCTGACATCCTAACCTCTAAATAAGCTCTTCAAGCAGGAAAAGTTGTATAGACTACCAAGCACCGTCCTAACAGCTCATTTAATGATTTCAGGAGTTCAACTCTCTCGAGTGACATCACCATATTTTTAGAAGGTCACATCATGTCACATTTAGTGAATGTTATCCTACCGAACTTGAGGACAATATGATGATGACATAGGAACCACCCCACCCGTGAGTATAATATAAAGGCCTTCACCATGTAAAGGCATATAAAAAAACACCTTAGGTAGTGTAATCTATCTTCTCTCTTAAGCAATAGACAATCATCCCAAACAGCAAGAGACTTCATTAGAGTGGATTAGCCAATCTTTTCAGCCACTGAACCAATATAGTCCATGTGCTCTTTCTCCGACCCAGTACTTATTTCACCTTTTCAGTTAATACCGTACATAGAGCCATCAGGCACTATTTTTCAGATCGATCACGCCTCCAATAAGTCATACTTACACTGTCTTAAGCTCTTCAACCTAAGCATCACTATCTCATGCTTTCTGTTTAAACATCATCACTATGCATTTTATTACAAACACTATTTATCCAGATTCTCTATCACTTAACCAACAAATCATTTACAGAACAATGTCAAAGGCTAATCAATACCTGATAACCATCTTTGTTGAGTTTCTTAATGGCAACCACAATTGGCTCACCCTTTCCATCAGAAGGCTTGATAGTACCCTCATACAAACTTTTGAATTCGCCTTCCCAAATCTTTACAAGCCAACTGAAGCCATTGGTGGCCCGCCTGAGCTCCGAGAATGTAAACACTCGCAACTTCTCAGCCTTGTCTTCATACAATTCGGGATACTACGCTGCAAAGTAGCTGAACATGAAGACTTCGTCACTCTCTCAGCTGCTGAAATGTCGGACTTGCTTTGGTCATTCTGTATTGCTGCTGAGCTTCTTTCCCTGGTTCTAGTTCTGTTATTGAAGTAATAAAGACAATTCATTTTGTGATGGATTTAGACAAAGTTTTCAGGGTTCAATTCGAAATCCAGAACCACCATTGAAAGGCTGTGAAAAACCAAAAGAAGAAGAATTAGCATTTTTTTCCGGTTACCTTGAACATCATAATATGCTTGAGAGAGAGAGAGAGAGAGAGAGAATGAATTGGAACCAAAAACAAGATACAAAACTAAATAAAATTGGCCGAATTGAGTTTGAAATAGTAATACCAAATCAAAAACCAAACTACATCAGTTCTTTGGATCAGCTAGGTGAATCTATTTTTGCTATTCATTGCAATCATATGCGAATATTTTATCTATTCTATAGATTCTTAAATATTTTTATATTTTTTTTATTATAAACATGGTCAAACCGTGTTAATCTATTATCTCTTAATTTATCCTTAATTGGAGTTATTCTTACCATTTACCATTTTTCTAATACGGTTACTTCATATTCTGTCATTTCTTATTTTTTTATATATCCACCTTAACTTTTTCATTTCCGTTACACTCATTTTGTCATTATATTGTTTCTTAGTTGTCCAACATTATGTCTCATACAACATTGTTATTTTTATAATTGTTCGATAAACCTTACATTTCAATTTTATTAATATATTTTTATCATATAATATGCGAGAGGCTTTCCTCCACTTAAGTCAACTGTTGTTAATTCTATGAGGTAGATCATCTCAAAATACCTTGATTTTATTTAGAAGTTTTCCCTTTTTCTACTCTAAATACCCAGAAAAAAAAATCACTTAATACTTAAATCAAAAAACTTGTTAATTATTTAAATAAAAATAAAATAATAATGCAATTATGATTAGCCAACCTATGCTCAAAGTTTTGAATTTGAAACATTGACTCTATCACTATGATTAAATGGCTTAAGAGTTAATACACCTATCAACCTCTTTAGGATAGATGCCCCCAACTGAAATGTAGTGTTTTTTTTTGTGCATTGACTATTTAGAATTGGACTTATTCATTGAAAGAGGAGAGAGAGTCTTCATTGGTGGTGACAGAAACTATTTAAGTCATTTTCTGTGCATTTTTTTCTCTACCTCTATGTCCTCTTTGACTGATTGTAGTTTGTGGTTGCACATGGATTTATGGACTTGTTCATGACACATAAATGTATTATCATTGCGTATGTGGGTTTTTTTTTTTTTTTTTTTGATAAATTGTATTTTGTACCTTGAAAGATTTCAACTTTTTCATTTTGTACTCTTAAAGGTTAACGTATTAAAAGTATTGTAATGTGACGTTTCTGTTAACTTTTCGTTAGTTTTTCCGTCAAAATTAATAGAATGCTTTTGAAAAAAAAAAGAACAGAAATTAACAGAAGAGCTACATTTCAACACTCTTGATACATTTAAGATGCAATATAAGAAATTTCATTTTAGAATATACGAAGTGTTTTTTTTTTTTGGGGGGGGGGTGGAGGGGGAATACGGTTTATTGGAACTATGTGAATTAATGTTTTTTAAGTGAAATTAATTTGTTCATGAAATATAGATCCTTTTCGCTACTTTTTTTTTTAATTTTTTTTGTAAATCATCCGCTATTGATCTCAATATATGTCCATGGGCCAACCAATTAGTCGACTCAAATATCGGGTAGATTATCTAGCCCAAGCCCATCCGTCAGCCCAATTTATGGAAAATTTTAACTATTAACACACTTTTGATTTTTTTTTTCCTTGAATTTTAAATTTAAAAATAGTATATGGTTATAATGAAAAATAGTGTATGATATGTTAGAACTCTTGTCCATACCTAATCATGGGCCAAGTCCCAACCCAATACAATGTTCGGGCCATTGTTCGGCCTAGGCCTTGCCCTCGGGCCTAAAAAAAGGTCTGACCATCCGACCCATAGCCACTTCTAGAGACAGGGAGTTGGCGTGCCCTCCTGAAATTCGAGAGAAATAAATTAAGAAAACTCATCGAGGAAGATGATTAAAAATTGTGTATTTTGCCTATATTCGAAACCGATACAAGTGGGTAGATAGAGAATACTTAGAGACGCGAGACAACTCTTCCTAAGAAACTCGACAAAATAGTCTTGTAACTTTGGGAGAAGGGATATCTAGTCACAAAAGAGGATCTTAATTAGACTTGTCAATTTTCAACCCGATACGTTAACACGCACGAACCGAACACGAAATTAAACAAATTAATGAGTTAAAACCGGTAAACACGCTTAAACATGAAAAAAAAATATGTCAGATTCATGTTAAAATCAAGTCAATCTAATTTTGACTTGATTAACATGTATATTTTAAATAGGTTGACATGATTCGAATGACCCAACTCATTGTAGACTCGTTTATGACAGTATAGTTTACCTGTTATATATGACTGATGTGATCTTAACATTATTACTTATTAGTTCTTATTTCAACTATGATAATTGACAATATAATTCATAAAATTATTATGATAGGATACTAATATAGTTGTTGTTTTAATTTTTAGGTTAAAATTTGCATGCATTTTAATTAATTTCATTGATGAGATGTGATATGTTATTTATAAAAAAATTATTTGAAATATTGGATGAATGATTGAATGACGTATTTAATGGCAATGAACAGGTGTGAAAACAGGTTATGTGTGTTAAAAATGTTTTTGTTATGTGTGCTAAATATATCAAAATAACTTGTGCGTTAACCCAAAAATGACCTGTTTATTAAGCGTGTCAAACAGATCCGGTTCGGATAACCCGTTTAATAGTTAGGTCAAGTTAGAGTTTACACATTTCGATACGATTATTGAGGGCTCGTTTGGTATCGTTTACAATTTTAATTTTTTTAAAAAAATAAAAAAACAGAATCAGTTTTAGATTTTTGTTAGCAAAAAATGAAAATAGAAAACGTGTTTGATTGCTTTTATAGTTGTAAAAAAATTTGAAAACAAAAACAGAAAATTCGTTCGAATGTAACACTTGAATATTTATTTATTTTTTGACGAGCTTGTATACATTAACATAATTCCATGATATTAAAATGTTAAAAGAACAATCCATAACTGATCATCCAATAGTTTTCAAACATACTACAAATATATCCCATGATTTCAAACATTCCACATAAGTATTTCATACTTCATAGTTATATTAATACTAATAATACCACTCTAAAGTTAGCACTACCAACAAAAAAATTCATAGTTCATAAACACCAATAACAATAATGTCTATCAATGCTCATGCAGTCTTACCCACTATTCATTAGTAATGTCATCTCTCACACGAGCCATTTGGCGAAGTTGGTTTGGACTGCTATCTACTTTAATTGGGTTTTGTGAAGTCGATTCCGAACTGTCAGTACAATCCCTATTTTCATTATTAAACTCATCAAACAATCGATCTTGACGAGCATGCATTCTAATGAAGTTGTGCACGGTACCACAAGTTGTTGGTATGTATTTTTGTGTTTTTATGGGATAAGGGGGCATCTGTTTGAGAATGGGAAATCGAGTCTTCAGTACTCCAAAGCAACGTTCAATCACATTCCGAAGAGATGAGTGACGGTAATTGAATAACTCTATCTTACTTCTTGGACGTCGGCCACTACCTCTATACTCACGTAAATGATATCTCTCTCCACGATATGGTGACAAAAAATCCAGCACATTCGTATATCCAGAGTCAACAATATAATACTTATTTGTCAAACAGCAAACTTGTAAATGAACATGATAATTTGTATAAATAAAAATAAGGGTACAATTGAATAAATACCTCCTCCAGGCATTGGAAAGTTATTTTTTGGGTCATGAAGAGACTCAATAAATACTCTTGAGTCATTGACAATTCATTCCCAACCGCTTATCACAAAAGTAAATCGCATGTCGAATGAACATGCACACATCACATTCTGTGTTGGTTCAATTTTTTTGCCAGGATATGGTATTTGGTCATCCACCGGTACACGCGCGTCAACATGGGTACCATCTATAGCGCCGATACAATCCTAACACGACACATCAACCGTTAATATGAATAAATCATGTGCATAACAAATAATAAAATATATCTTACCTTAAAGAATGGATAGTACTTAGGATTGTACCGAATTTGAGGTGGAACAATATTGAAATAAGGAGATGTGATAATATAGACATCAAGTCTGCAAACAGCCTTCAAGACACGATGAAAGTAAAAATGGATAATATGGCCTGAATGCTAAAACCTCTCAGCTACTATTTGAATTCTCTCATTATGAGATATAATTAGTAAGAATAAAGCCACTTGTTCTTGAACTGTTACATTCCTAGAGTTATTCAAATTCCCTTTACTTTGTAGTTCCTCACAAAATAACACAAACACGTTAGGGTCTATCCTGAATTGATCATAGCACCTATCTTCATGTCCATTAATTAATTCTAAGACATAGTCATGACCCCTAAGTTGAGATGTTCTACATGGTTGTTTTGAAGAGAGCTTATCAAGTTCCTCTGTCAATAGTAACACAACAATCTGGACAATATACTCCTCATCTTCCTCTTCCATCATTTCAATAAAATCGTCTGAGTTCATGATGCAATATAAAAAAATAGTACCTAATGCAATATAAAAAAATTGTACCATTACCTATAAATCCTAATTAAAGAAAGCATATATAACATTTAAAGAGTATCATTACATACAAATACTAATTAAAGAAAGCATACATAACATAACATAACATTTAAAGAGTACCATTACATATAAAGTGTACATAACATAAAATAATATTATACGACACCATTGTAAGCACAAGAACATCACAGATTCAGCACCACACCCCTCCTCCTATTTCAGGCATTGAAAGAAACAACTCTCATCACATTACATCATCATGCAACAGTTTAATAGCTTTTGTGTAAGCTGCATCATCAATGTCTTCGAGAGAGTTCAAAGCAGTCATGCAAGCCTTCATCATCTCTTTATGTGGATCATATGTACTGACTGAATCCCCTAAGGACTCCACACAAGTCGATGACTCACCACCACTTGCCAATTTTTTTCTTGTAGTAGCTTGCCCTAAGCTTAGCAAAATTGGCTAACATAGTGAGTGCACTGGTAAGGGCACGACCATAAGTTTCTCTTTTTGGTTGTTGGCTACTAGTTGGAGTGGTAGATCGGCTTCGATTACATTTGGTATCCACTGGGTTATCATCATCATTTTCATTAGCTTCCTCATCTTTTGGGTCATAGTTGGGATTATGTTCCTCTTCATTACCAAATGGAGGTTTGGTTGATGGGTGAGCATGTTTACCGGTTGCTATTGTGTCTTGGTAGATTCTATACAATGCCTCATAATATGGGCAACCTTTTTTCTTAATTTTTTTTGCTCGCTTGTTGACCTATAAATAGATGAGTGATAGGAAATTAGTTAACAGTAGAATTTTTATATAAATTCTCATATAAGTAATAAACTTTTTTATACCTTGATCAAATTGTCCCAAACATCATCTGAAAAAATCACAGTCTCTCTCTCTGGATCCCAACCAGCCCTGTGGTGTTTGTAACTAGTTTGTGAAAATCCTTCCAAACTTGACTTAGAGCATTAAATTTGTTCTTAAGTTGCTCATGGGTACATGCATAGCCAGTCCTTCGTTTCAACTCTTGAAGTATGTAGTTCCATGAGTGTCGAGTGAAAGTGGTATTTGACCTATTTTTCAAGGCAACTTGCTCATCCATTAACTCAATAAAAATTGTCTCATTTTTAGTAGGCCATGGTTGATTAACTTTGGTTGGTTCAATTTCCATAACATCAACATTATCCAAGTTCTGATTGACATTCACATTGGCCATCTACATCCACAGACAATCATAAAAATTTTCCAATGCAAAGTATGGAAATCATTGATCTAACATACACTTTTCATGCCCCCAAAAAAATCAACAACTCAGCAGCTATAGAGAGAGCAAAAAAAATCAGCAACTACATAGAGAAAAAAAAATAAACAACTACAGAGAGCAAAAATCAGCAACTTTGGAGGGTGTTTCTGAGTAGCTAGGGTCTCAGTTACAAGCTAGTATTGTTGGTTTTGAGATTATTTTGGGGAGTCTCCTATTTTGAGATTTCTAAGGCTTTCTAAAAACTAGTAATACAATACAAAAGAAAAAAAAATCAGCATTACAACACAAAAGAAAAATCAGCAATACAACACAAAAGAAAAAAAAATTCAAGCTTTCTAGAAAGCAATCTCAAGCTTTCTTCATGGAAGGCAAAAAAAGAGATATATAAATGAAAGAAAGGGTTTAAAAACATATTTCGGGGTGGGAAAAAAATGTCTTGCAGCTAGCCTTTCATTCATTATTTCTTTCTCACCATTAAAAAAAAAACTATGTCCTAGGCAACGTAAATTTTTTGTTATCATATGATTCAGCTAAAGTAATTTTGGTGGTAAATGAAATAATAAGTAAATAACCAATCATAATGGATACATGAATTTATGAACTAATGAAAAATCCGTACAGGGACCTAAGTTCAAATGACAAAATAATAGTTAAATGTAACGTTCACAAGATTGATATCATAAATAGATTAAAGACATTCCTTCAAACAAGAAAAGTATCACATTTATGACACAAATACAAAGTCACTAATAGGTGCATGTTGTCAAGCTCACCAATGATGGTAGAAAGATTGGTTAAGTCCAATTTTTTTTTTTGTTAGGTCGAATTCACTTGTGTGATTTCACTTTGATCACTATATGTAATTTTTAAGCATGATTGTTGCGTACTATACTTGATCTTATGACGTTAGTTCCTTTAATATTTCTACCTTTGTGTACTTTGTGTGTGTACTCAAGTTTCGGACTCTCCCCATTTTTACAGTTTCTAATGATTTCTTCTTATGACGTTAATCAACAACATAGCACACACGAGATCAGCAAAAAATCAGGCAAAAATCATATCTATAACCAGCAAAAATCAGAGAAAAAAATCAACAATCAGATCTATAACCACCAAAAATCATATCTATAACCACCAAAAATCAGATTTATAACCAGCAAAAATCAAAGAAAAAAATCAGCAAAAAATAGATGGATGTAGTACCTTCAACGACGCATAGTAGAATAACTATTAATGTCTTCGTTGAAAAGGAGAGGCGCCTGGCGATGAAGAGGACAGCCGACGAAGAGGCCTGGTGAGGAAGAGGCCTGGCAATGAAGATGAGAGGCGAGAGAGAGAGAAAGAGAGGCGATGAAGTTGAGGGGCACGAAGACAGATTTGAAGGGTTAGGGTTTGGGTATTGCTATTTATATGGGTGTCTAATAAATGTGTCTGTTTTGTGCTAATAAGGTTCGAATCCTTTACCTCATTAAAAACAAACACGCGTTAAATGTTTTTTTCCTTTTCAAAAACATCTTTTTTTTTGTTTTTGAAAATCGCCCCTCATTTATAAAACGGTGGGAAAAAAAAATTGGTTATCAAACGAGTTTTTTTTTCTTATTTACTCTAAAAATCAAAATAAAAACGAAAAACATAAACGTTACCAAACGGGACCTAAACATGTTAGGTTCAAGTTTTTGGATATTTAACACAAACTCGAAATCAATCCGACACAAAATAACTCAACCCGACACGATTGACACCCCTAAATTCACAATGACTAAACCCGAATGACTATTTATTAAAAATACAGCTCTCCACAAAGTCATAATTGTTTGAATTCATTAAAAAAAGTCGAAGAAAATGGCACTGGGCTAGTTGCTTGACACTAATCTGGAGATATGTTAAGTACCTTGTCAAAATTTGAAATTGCATGCCCTATAGATAAGTAAAATAGCATAAAATAAGGGGCTTAGGGAGGCTGGTACCTCCCTAAGAACTTAATAGGATAAAAATATACTTTTTAAAATAATTGGGATGAAAGTACATCTGTTAAAAAAAAGTCATAAAAGCCCTTTTAACCCTACCATGAATATTGCATACCTAATTGATAGCTTTTATATTTATAGTATCTAAATATTAAAATGTGAGAGTTTCAAGATTTTTTTGATATTTGTGTATCATTTGAATTTTGAAATTTCATATGTGTGTGTGTGTATATAGACACACACACACACACACACACACACACACACACATATATATATATATATATGGCGCTGATATTTTTGCTCATAGATCAATCCCCCCTTCCTGGTATCAAAGTCATTAGAAGTATGGTAGCTTAAATATATTCTGATGATTTATATGCAGATCTATTACTAATTCTTGTTGCTTATGTAATTGTGATTTAATTTTGTTAAACTATTGTCACTATGAAATTGTTAGTTTAATTTTGTTATAATGATGATTCTTTGGGCTTCCTATGGTTTTGCATCAAGGTCACGTTTTAGGGATTTTAGGCTGTTTTCCATGAGATAGGAGTTAGGCCGTGTGTGTGGTCCCTTGAGAGCGTTGACAGAGTTGACTGCAAAAGTAGGACGATGAGAAGACATTATAGCAAAATTATGGTAACAATAGTCACTATAGCAGTACTGCATCAGAATTAGAAGACGAATTACAATAACAACTAGAAGAAAGTAATAGTGAAACATATAAGTCAATAGAACAACCTTTGAGATACCACTATAGTGTTAAACATATTTAAATTTAAATTTAATCATAAAGATGATTATGTTAAAAAAATAGAAGAAATAGAATTCTCTAATATTGAAAAAAAATTACAGAACTGAGATATACCCCAATGCCCCACTAAGAAAATTTATAATATTGGCACTTTTGATTTTAAATCTAGTTTAACAATCAAAACGATTGGAAGGACTATTCTTTTTTATCAAAATAAAGATATTTTACAACTGATAATTGAACGAGAAGTCTTAAAGGCTCAAAGATAATAATTATAAATTTCTGCATATTGGATTAGTTCAAGTTGCATTAAACCCGTTAACTCTTCAAGAATTAAATGCGTCTATTATGTTAGCACTAAGAGATGCCAAATATCTTGATTTTGATCAATTTTTAATGAGAGTTTTGCAATCCAGTTTAAGTACTAGTACTGTTTATTTTAACTGTTTTTATAATTTTTCTGTATCTTTAACAAATAAAAATATCTTAAATGATTTAACATGTAATATTAAAACTTATGGTTACAATTATAAAAATGGCACCGATATAATTATTTTTGCTTGTAGAGTATACTAGAAAGCTATGCATATTTTATGTCCTAAAGCTAAACTTCTTAATCTTAAAGGTTAGACAACTTTAATTGAAACAAACACAATTAAAAATAAAATTGAAGTCCCTAAAACCATTAAATGGTTAGAAATCCAGTTTTCAGAAACTTGGTAATTGGAGTCTGTGGTTCCTAAAAAATCAAAGATAAATAAAGAAATAACTCAGATCACCCAACCATCCTAGTGATAAAATTTCCTAGAACTAATTCTAGAAATTATTTAAAATCTTCTAATAAATCAAAAACTTCATCAGGTCATTATACTCCTTTTAGAAGATCTACTTCCCCGATTCAAAATCGAAAAAGAGATAAAGAACTCATAATTGAAGGAATTAACATTTTAAAAAATAATATTCCTTATGGTATATATCGACTAGATAATGAATCTTCCCTAGAGGAAGATTTAGATCCAATCTCATCCGAAATCAGATTTCAACTATAATTTTTATGGATTTACACCCAATAGAATTATAGTTGATAAAAAAACCTGTAATAAATAATTTTATCTTCCTAAATATAAATAATTTAGAAACTGGTATTTTAAAACATTGAGTTCGGAAGAACTTCAAAATTATAAAGAAATGTTTTACCTTTATATAAAAAGGGAAAAAATGATAATTCTTTTTGTTAATTGGTTTTTAACCTATTATGATCCTCCTAATATAAATCAATTAAATGAAATCAACAAGTTTCTTATTTCTGGAAAAATAAATTTTAATTATTCAGATATTGAAGATGTTGAGTTTATAAATGAACTCAAGAAAAAATTAAATAACATTTCTCAAACAGAAATGTTAAAGCAATCTAAACCTGAAACTCAACAAATCAATGAATTAATTGATGAAAAATTACAAGATAAAGTTTTAACCATTGAATCTCTAAAAGAATATTCAAACTAGCTTTTCCATGAAAAGGAATATGATAAAGACGAAATCAATATAGAAAGACAGCTTACCAAATCTACTAACTCATTTAAAGAAAAGGACAAAATGTCTATGAAATGCTTTTAGTGTAAAAAAATTGGACATGTTGCATCTACAGGCTATTATAAAAAAGTTATTCTAGTTATGAAAAAACTAAGTATAAATACTTTGATTAAATCACAAACATTTATCCTTGATCTTATAGACAAAAGGGTTAATTACAAAATTCCCCCTTCAAGTTTGGGTCTTGTTACAATCAACTCCCTCTAGTTTCAATTTAAACAAATTACCCCTCAAAGTTAAATATTTTTCAATTAACTCATTTTGTTAATTTCAACAGTTAAAAATAGCAGACTTTAGGCATGTGCAAGTCACATGATCTCATGTTCTATGTAAAAACAAAATTACTTTTTACAAATCCATCTAATTTTTTCTAAAATAGCGATAAAAAACAAAATCTGCAGCCTTAAAAATTAAAAACCCAAGTCAACCTAGCTCCAACCTAATACTAACCTCAACCTTGGCACCACCAAACCCACCCTAACCAGAATCATCAAACCACCCAGCAGCACTGCCACCTCAAACTCCATTTACAACCTCAACAACCAAAGCCAACGACACACAAACGAACACCCAACACTGCCACCTCCAACTCCATTTGCAGCCTCACCAACCAAAGCCAACGATACACAAACGAG